TTGTCCATCGAGAGATCTACCTGTCCCTCTTTTAGTAAGAGAAAGTCATGAATTGTTCTGGCTGTCTATGCGTCCTGAAATTTTATCACAACACCCACAGATTTTGACAAGAAATTGAAAAATATATATATATATAAAAAAAAAACAATGAAAAAAGTCTTAACATTCAACTACATTAATAAAAATTTGAGTATTCAACATTTGCTAATGACGCTAGCCAAACCAATTATTTTCTAATACTCAACCAATAAGGAAAATATTATTTTGACGCCCTGAAGTTTGACACCTTTTCATGTGTTGGGAAAACCCCCATTGAAATACCATCTTATTCAAAGTCTTTTAGAACATAAAATGACAATTCTTACTTTAAAAGCACAATTAAATAAGGACGAAAACAATAAGTTTCTATAACTAAAAAAAAAAAAAAAAAAAAAAAAAAAAAAAAAAAAAACCTAAATAAAGAAACCAAAACCAAAACATTATTAGATCCACATCTCATGTGCCTTCTTGAAGAACTTCTGGCGGCCTAAAAACTGTTATTGCGCTTATCCCCATTAAGATTGTCCTGGCAGAGGATATTGAAAAACTCAAGCCGAAAGCTTTATGGTTAATTGTTGAAGTTTGAACATCATTACAAACATATGAAATCAACGACAAGATAAACCAACACGCCCGGAATCAAATAAGGCCCAACAAGGGCCTGAGCGGTACACACACACACACGTAAATATACATTGTATTATATTATATATAGGCCGCATCAAAAATTGAAAGTTTAATCTTATGTCCCTATTAATTTTTGTCTTAGTTATTAGCCTCCACTTATAAAAAAAAAATCTTGATTTCGTTACTCCAAACCAATGACCTTAGAACTTTTGTTGAATAATGCTACGTACAAGTAAAGCCCTAACATGTATTTTCATTAGTGATATTACAAATCGAAGGAAAAACAAATAAGTAGACAAACATTCCACTTGCTATAAATGCCTCAACCGATTAAAATTTTGCTTCTGATCCTAGAAAACCACAAGCTTAAAATAGTTTACACTACGATTACATCAAAAAAAGAAATTTTTATAAGCGAATAAACATCAAGAAATACCATTTCCCAAGGAAATCTAAAGTACAACATGTGTCATTATTAGTCAATGACAATGAAGGTTGATACCGAAGAAATTGGGTTCAAGATGGACATGATCTTGGTCGAAAATATCGGAAGATTGCTACTTAAGCTACATAATAACACGAGTGCTTCCTCTTCTTTTGATCATTACCCTATTGCTGGTCCTTCTTTATAATGTCAGGGAATTTTATCAGTATAAAGTCGAGAAATTTTCGAAATTTAGATAATGAATTTTCTCGTTAAACTATTCAACTATTTTTAATGTGATTTTATGATGAAAATTAAAGAATTTATTTTGTTACATTACATAAATGTTAATTGTGAATTTTTATCGCATATGATTTTAGGATTTTATGTGATAAATTTTTTAAAATGAGACGACCCCTTTAAATATCGTAGATAAATCAAAGACATAAGAAAAGGTTACACATTATAACCGGAATTACAATTTCTGTTTGAATCAGTAAGTAGTTTAGAGATCAGCTAAACTAATCTGACAAATTTATGGTTAATTACGGAACTACTTAGAGACAATAGTAACAAATAATTCTGTGTTGCAACAAGACAGATAATTCTTCAGTGCAACAGTATCAGTAACCACAGATCTATACATGCCAGCTCATGCCATTTAGACACTAAAATTATGGACACTGTTAGTACAAAAAGATATACTAAGGCCTCGTTCGTTTCGTTGATTCGAGTTTAAAATTTGAATTGAGATGTAATTTTATGTGAGAGCTTTTTACTGTAACAAAAAAGTTAGATGTGACTGTTTATGAGAGCTTTTTACTGTAATAAAACTCGAATCAGCGAAATGAACGAGACAGATTAGTAGAGAGTTCGATCGGCCCCAAAGGTCCAGGTAGAAAGTAAAGTAACCTTTAGTTTGACCTAGAAAAACCTATTAGCTGACAAGTTCAAGCTCAAGTCCATAAGGCCCAATCTTATCCTTAGATGTATTAAAAGTTGGGAGTGAAGAGGATAGTCTAGTAATGGACTGGAGTACAGGAAATTAACTTAATTAATTTCCAAGACCCTTAAATAAATTAGTGCGATTTAATAGGATAATTAATTAATTAAATTAAATTAATTGATCAATAATAAACCGATAGATTAATCATTAACAAAGAATAATTAACCTACATTGGTTAATAAAATTTTAGGGGAGATTAACTAATTAATTAGTTAAACTACATTAGTTTAATCCGAAGAATGTGATTTAAATCATAAGATGGATAATTAATTGAATTAATTAATCCTAATAATCGTTCATAAGATGAGATCTCTAAGACTAATCTTGACTCTTAATGTAAGTTGTAAATTGCGATGATTCAATACTTTTGTTTTTGTATAGATTGCCAAGATAAGGTCGTTGCGAGATAAAACTAAATAGAAAATCCAATCAAATTTTGGACTAATGAGAGAAAGAAGTCCAACTCACAAACAACAACGAGAGAGTTTCGGGCAAAATAAAAAAATAAAATTGTATAAAATATGAAAAAAAATAACTCTACTAAGTACTAAATCATAAAATTGCATTAGATCATTTTCAAGCAGGAAAAAAATATTGCATTATACCATATAGAATTAAAAAATAATAATTTCTCGTCCTACGAATTGTTTTTTAATTCAAAAGAAAAGAAATGAGTAATCTTTACGGTGAAGTATACTATTTTATTTCACCGGTGAGACATTAGTCGTGTATATTTTGATATTTTCATTCTTATAACTTTTTTTTTCGGGGTCTATAAATTTTTGAAACACAAACAATTAATTCCAATTGTT